GTAGTTATCTCTAAAGTGCACTTGAAACAGCTTGTCGACTTTGTTAGTTGTTGAAGTGAAATAATTATGGCATAGAAGGTCGCATGACGATCCTTGGATCAGCACTTCTATAAGCCCCGATATATATATTTATCTGTTCTGCTTGGTCAGTATTGTTTGAAAATATTTTCCGCGTCTACGGATCGGCGTGCGATCGCGCTTTTTTGTCGTTAATGAAATTATCGTCTGCTTACTTAATATCTATATATAGAGTTTGCATTCACGTTACACATAAGTTCGTATCACAGAGATAGCGAATGTTGGTCGAAAAATCCAAGCCTTATCGCCGAATGTAAAAAGGTGTTTGTTAAGAAACTACAATGTGTTCTATAGGTGTTTAAGGTTTTTTTTCTTGATTTTACGGGTACGCGCGTTAATTGCGAATCATAATGTTGAGATATTGAAACTTGATGAAAGAGGTTGGACATTGAGATAACAGTTCTACTGACTGATTTTTATTTATAACTTGAAAATTGCATTTTCCAGTCTCATAATCAGATTCGTAACATTTCATTGTGCTATAAAAATCAGATCATTTTAATCAAAACACTGTTTACAATGAATTTATTTTCTAGCAACCTTATAAGCGTTGTTTTCATTAAAATATCGTTTTCGATCAAGTGTAATCGGCATAAAAAATTTAGTTTAATTTGAACCTACGATAGGAATAATTATTGTGTCGTAATACATTATCGTGAAAAATATGTTATATATTGAGCCGTTAAAAATAGAAATAAAACGTAACTTGTAGTCATTTGATTTCCAATCGAAAATGCTTTTATAAAACCGCTAGAGAACATAGCGAGTTATTCTAATTCTATAGTGATTCTAATAGTTATTTTATTTAGTTTAATTTGAACCTACAATAGGAACAATTATTGTGTCGTAATGAATTATCATGAAAAGTATGTTATATATTGAGCCATTAAAAACAGAAATAAAACGTAACTTAGAGACATTTGATTTCTAACCGAAAATGCTTTTATAAAACCGCTAGAGAACATAGCGAGTTATTCTAATTCTATAGTGATTCTAATAGTTATTCTATTTAGTTTAATTTGAACCTACAATAGGAACAATTATCGTGTCGTAATGAATTATCATGAAAAGTGTGTTATATATTGAGCCGTTAAAAATAGAAATAAAACGTAACTCGTAGTCATTTGATTTCTAACCGAAAATGCAGTTATAAAACCGCTAGAGAAAACACAGCGAGTTATTCTAATTTCACGATCGGGACACGCTGGACATTTTACGCCGCGGAATACATCAACGATCGAGGCACCGTATGGCTAACGGAATATGCATGCTGCATCAGGATGAATACGACGGTCCAAGCTTACAAACCTTTCCTTTTTAGGCAGCCTTATACGTGAATAACTGCGTGCCCATTGCGCGTTCTCTACCGGTCTTCCAGATACGATCTTCGTCAATATGGAGTTTAAACGACTGGGCTACCGCAAAGACCGCTTAGCCAGGAAGGTAGAATTTGAGCCAGTCGAAGAAAAGACCGTAGCGTTCGATGCTTTAATATTAAATATTACAATTAAAATAAATCGCCAAATATTTATGTAAATTCATATGTTTATTTGCTATTTACGATGACAAATATCAAATAAATATGTTCTCCCTATGGAGAATTTTATTAAATTTCACAAAGGCTTCCATTTTATTGTGTTCTTCGCGTGAAAATTCACTATAAATGTTACATAAATATAATGCTTTCGTTCGATGCTTTAATATTAAATATTACAATTAAAATAAATCGCCAAATATTTATGTAAATTCACATGTTTATTTGCTATTTACGATGACAAAGATCAAATAAATATGTTCTCCCTGTGGAGAATTTTATTAAATTTCACAAAGGCTTCCATTTTATTGTGTTCTTCGCGTGCAAATTTGCTATAAATGTTGCATAACTATAATAAAAGAAAGACAGCTTGGTATACCATTCTATTTGTATTTCTGTTCTCGTACAAAAATGTAGAAACATCTGTGTATAATGTCTAAGGTAAAGACGAGATCGTGAATAAACTGTACCTATTCACTATGACAATGCGAGAGGAATGGAGGGAAGGAAAGAATGAGAAAACCCGTCTCACTTTTGAAACCGTCCTAGTGTAGGTGGAAACGAGTTCTTTAAACGGCACAGAAAAACTTTCTCCGAAACGATGCTCGCGTTTACGAGAAGAATTTGTGGGCCGTGTCGAAGAAACAACGAACGAAGTGTTTCGAACACATTGGGTCAGTGACTCTGCGGCAACACTCGTTTCGCAGACCCTACAGGATGTGTTACTTGGATCACTGGCACGTCGTATAATTAATAACAAGCAGTGGATAGAGGCTCGTGCCCCATCGAGTTTAAAAGATTAATGGAAATCTCGTAAATTCATCGACGAATTTAAATGCGAAACGAATGATCGGCCGCACGAAAGATCGATGGTGTTTCGGTATACTTTATGAAGCGATACACACTCCGCGTTAAAGCTAAAAATGAAAACAATTCCGCGGTATGACATGTGAAATACTTCCGATAAATGAGCCGTTTATTTCGAAAGTGGCCTAAGTCCATTTATTTGAAAATCCAGATATTTAAGGTTTTTACGTTTTAGTAAATTTAAAAATATTGCTAATTGATAACATATGGTGGTATGACATGTGAAATACTTCCGATAAATGAGCCGTTTATTTCGAAAGTGGCCTAAGTCCATTTATTTGAAAATCCAGATATTTAAGGTTTTTACGTTTTAGTAAATTTAAAAATATTGCTAATTGATAACATATGGTGGTATGACATGTGAAATACTTCCGATAAATGAGCCGTTTATTTCGAAAGTGGCCTAAGTCCATTTATTTGAAAATCCAGATATTTAAGGTTTTTACGTTTTAATAAATTTAAAAATATTGCTAATTGATAACATATGGTGGTATAAAAATGTAATGTAATAATTTTAATGTAATAATAATTAATAATTAATAATTAATTAATAATTTTAATGTAATATTAAAATAGCTAGCTCGGTGTTTTTGAAAAATGACTTAGGCCACTTTCAAAATAAACGGCTCAAATATAGATGATCTCTCTCAATATTTCAAAATGCGACGACGTGATTTCCAGCGATCGTCGAATGTTAACGAATATTATGGTGATTAAAGTTCCTAAACGGATTCTGTTGCAGATAAACAGCAAATACAGCGAGGAACTGGCGCAGGAATGTCTGGAATGGATCAAGACGATCACCGGTGAAAATATAAACACTAACGGGGACATGGACAACTTCTACGAAACCCTGAAGGACGGAATCCTTCTTTGCCAGTACTTATATCTCGTGAAAACAAAACTAGTTGAACTAGCCGACAAGACGTGCATTTTATAATAGTAACATTCATTTTCATCTTTCAGATTGGTGAACGACATCAAGGAGGGCTCGGTGAAGAAAATTAATAAAACCAGTCTCGCATTCAAGTGTATGGAAAACATAAATGCATTCCTTGAAGCTGTAAGAGGATTGGGTGTCCCGGCTCAAGAGACCTTCCAGACTGTTGATCTCTGGGAGAGACAAAATCTCAATTCCGTTGTAATTTGTTTACAGTCTCTTGGCAGAAAGGTAAGATCGTTTGAAAATTTCAGATATTCTTCAATTTTAAACTAAGGCAATCCTAGACATTTTAGAAAATAATCAATATATATAACTATATATATTATATTATATATTATATTATTTTATATTGTATTATATATATATTATATATTATATTATATATAACTAATGTATGTATGTATAAGTTATCCATTTTTAATTTTGTCCACAATTAATTACAATTATCAGACGTTCGGAGTTTTTAATTTGGTTCTGATCTATGTGTAAAATAGAGAAAATCCAACACGTTTGAACTGGTACTTAAAATAGTAAAATTGGATCTCTTCTGTCCATCGCTTAACAGAATTAGTACTAATTATACCAACAAAACCTAGCAAATAATGGCGGGCAATAAGATATATTGACCAAATAGTTTCAATAATAAAATTACGTTAGCGATTTTTATAGTTATATATTTATATTTGCCATTAGGAATGTTACGTTTTAAGTGTAAAAAAGATACTATTTTATATAAAATAGTATATATATATAATATACTATAATATACATATTTATAATACTTTATATTAACATATATAACTTATATATATTAAATATATATAAATTATTATTATTATATTAACATATGTAACATATATAACTTTATATTAACATATATACATTTATAATACTATAAAATACTATTTTACTTGTATATTTCAATTTGTAATGTAACATTTTTGTTTCCAGGCTGGTAACTTTGGTAAACCAAGTATCGGACCGAAAGAAGCAGACAAAAATGTCCGTAACTTCACTGAGGAACAATTAAGGGCTGGCCAAGGTGTCATCAGTTTACAGTATGGTAGTAACAAAGGTGCTAATCAGAGCGGCATCAATTTTGGAAACACTAGACACATGTAAAAACATTCGTTGTATCGTTCAAAATATCCCATAAATTCACTCTCGCCTCTCTATTTTATTTTCATGATGTGCTAGACTTATAGGAAATATTTGTTGTACAACAATCTTTCTTGTTGTGGTCCAAATTACTCTACAGAACGCACAAAAAACGTGGTTGTGCGTGAACGATGTACCAGATGACTTTGTATGCATTTACAGTAGGAGGCAGTATAATACAATACGTACCCATGGATACGTTATAAGATTTTACGTAATGTTTTGGCGAAATGAGCAATTTTAATGTTACCGAACTGTGCTCACATTCTAAAATTGAAATATATATATCTCGAACAGTAATGTGCGTACTGTTGATGAGTTGTGAAAAAGATAAAAAATGTGATTTATTATACAAGAAAGAATGAATTTCTTTGCAAACGTGAGAATAAAGTTACATTCTACCACTATTAAAGATTGGACACAGTGGCTCCGTATTTGTTAAATATTCCATATAGATTATACAACAGAGACGTTGGGGTGTGGCCGGCTGCTCTGTTACTGTTACTGTAAAATCACTTACGAGTTACAGTGTAACCAAATTATACTTTAAAAATTCCTGTTGCATGTGAGATGAAAACTATTATAATTATTGTATAATGATAAATGATATATAATTATATTAAGTATTTTGTACAAATATTTTTTGATGATTATAAAAATAATTTTTCATAATGTATTAATGATGAGTTAATAAACCAACCCACAAAGAGGTACATAAGTTTTTATTTCTTCTCTGGAATATTTATAAATGCTCTATTTCTATGTAATATATACAAAATCCTATAACATCCGCTATATAACAATGAACAAATTATTTATTTTAGGAAAGGATAGTAATCAAGACCAGAATTGTATTTAAAGGAACGCTTTTTGGTCTTTTTCTTGGCTTCTAGTAACTTCAATATGCTAGGTCTGAAAAATTCATGAAATAGGTCAATTCATATTCATTGTCTGTAACTTGTTATACATTGCAATAAATTACCTGTAAGCTGGAGGTAATAGCTCTTCTTCCAGTGTACACACATAGTTTGGCGGTGGTGTGGTTTGAGTAAGTTTATATATTTTTGATCGAACTATATCTATGTCTCTATTACATTCATCAGATAGATCTTGCAGTAAAATAGGCGGAGCATCAAAAGAAAAAAAGAAATATCTGTAAGCAATATGCAATAAATCATATTTCTGATTTCTGATATAAATCTACTAATAAATGTAAATAAAATTAACGCGTTGACTGCTATGAACAGCTACAAAATTAGTTGCAATTATTAATGCAATCTAACAATCGACAAACTTTTTGTATACAGAATGGTTGAAAAATTGTGGTACAACCGGTCAGGGGATGATTCTGCCATGCAAAAATAAGTCGAAAAAAAGAGGATAATATTTTTTCATTTAAGGCTCCGTTTTCGAAAACAAATGGGTTGAAAATATAATACTAATAAATAGAAATCATACTACAAGCCATTATTAAACTAATTTTTCACGAAAACGCAGTCTTGAATGAAAAAGTATTACTATTTTTTTAAACTTATTTCTCTATGTAGAATCATCCCCTGCCTGAATGTATTACGACAAAACCTCAACAATAATTTGGAAACAAAGTAAGATAAGGAAAACGCTTTTAAATTTTTTCTTATATAACATATCATATTTACCAGTGAATCCTCATATGTATAAACATTTCAATCTAATGAATGGTATAAAAAGAATAATGATATATTCAAAACGATAAATGTGTAAGTTATGGTAATGCAATTCACTTAAATAATTTTATAGAATATTTTGCCATTGCGCTTTTCTTCGTGAACACTTCCATGTCACAGTTAAAACATACAAAACTTACCTGGCGCATAATTTGTAAATATCCTACTAATATAAACCCAAGCTTACCCAGCTTCTCTGTGAACTTTGCCATGAATACTTGCTTTACATGGAAGCTGTTTGTCTCCCCAGTATTCAAGCTTTCTAATAAAACCACCCGTTTGAAATATTGAATTTGCAATTCTCTTTAAAGCATCTACAGATTCGCTCTGTAAACAAAATAATAATATCATTAATGTATCTCATTTCATTGTAGGATATAATCACATTCATTGACTCAGAATAAAAATCGTACTAATTTTAAGTAAATAAACATAAAATATAATGTAACAAATTACAGGTTGGATATATCTCTTATAATCAGTTGGATATATCATTTGAACTGGCAATTTATTGTAATACCTTTCGCATAATACGTAACAATACTGGCATTTCATAAGTAGGCATGTTGCGTCTTTTTTTTTATTTTTTACAAAAAATAATGAAATATATATTTATATCAAACTACATGCATGTACACTTTTCATCGAACATTGATAGTAAAACAAGACCAACTAAACCTTAGACCATATAATGTCTGTACATGCTCCGTCCATGCCCATATAATCCATGGACCTGAAGCAAAGCACAGACTATCAAGGCTACATACAAGCTTTTCAGAGGTCGCTCTGAAATGTGCTGCAGAATGGCATTGTCCAATCCCATTTATGAGATCTTTTCTACAGCATATTTCAAAGCAATCTCCTAATGTGCAGTTAATTCCGAACCCTGACCTAAACGACTGAGGCCGTTACTTCTTCATATTTGATGCTAGAACGCTTAGGGACGCTATTGTGTTTGTAATGTATTTGCTTGTGTTCCATTGTTTTATCATTTTTCTATAATAAGAAACAGTTATCCTAAATTAAGATGTGTATGTATTTATGTTCACGTTAAAATCCACGGAATAAAAGTTGTTAATTTTGAGAGCACCATAA